GAATTGGGGTCATGATAGTTGGAAGGTGGGGGAAGCATTAAAGAACTAGAGGAAAGTTGTATGTTTAATCGGTGCTATACTGCACCCTGACTGGCTCGTCTCCTCCCTGCGATTCTTCTGTAAGGGGATGTCCAGTTGCCAACAGATGGACTTTGGGTCTCCACTCTGCACTCCCCCTCATTCACAAAGATAATGATTTTTTGCTCTGGATCTTTGATGCCTGATACCTGATCCTATCGACACCTCATGATTGCACAGGGTGGTGTGCTTCACCCATGTGGACTTTGTTGCTTCTCAGCTTGTTTATTTTCAAGCCTTTAAGACCCCAGATGCTATATCTTTTGATAGCCGGGTACCATCAGCTTTCTTCACCACATTTGCTTATAGGGTGTTTTGGTTCTTTAAGCTTTGGGGCAGAGCCTTGCAAAGTGATCACTGCATCCTAGGATTTTAATCAACTCTTTAGGAATGGACACATGAGTGCTTGGATGAGTGAGTAAGTGGATAATTTGACTAGTTCCTACATCAGTAAGCCACACATTTGAAAGAGGGCACCCCAGACTTTTAGGTTAGAAATCATTTAGCCTGAAGTTTGAGGAGTGGAAGAAATGACCCAAGAAATTTTGACCGAAAACTGACTGAGCCCTGGGCTGCCCTCCCAGCAATCCCATGTTGCCCCAGGGCCTGTCTGGACGTGGGAAAGGTTTATTTTTCCTGGACGATTCAGGAGGAATCCCTAGTAGATCCCTCCAGGGAGTCAGGGCAAGACTGAGCTGCATATGGATGGGTGAGGAGGCCTTGACCTTGCTCACCTATAGAGTAGACACAACGAGTCTTCATTTCCAACAGTGCTCTCTAGCCAGGGTCCTTCCAGTCCGTGTCCTTGGAGAAATGTCCTCTCCAGGAGTAATTATGCACTGAAGGGTTTACTGACCCAGGACCTGAGGGCAGAATTAGTCAAGTAGGAGGTGAGGGTGTAATTGGAGGCCCGGAGAGCCTGGAGGCAACCTTTGAAAATCAGCTGTTTACATGAATTAGCATTGGCCAGTTATAGATTTTCCACTTGGGAAATTGCCAATAGAGTGTTGTGCTTTCTAGAGATGTGCCACCTGGGATGCCAGCATGATGGCATCATGAGGTCCTCTGGCCAGAACCTGTTACTGGGACAAGGGCGTGTGTCACAAGCCAATCAGCACAGGTGCTGGCATTCTTTCCCCATTTGATCTGCGAATGACAATGTCAGAAATGAGGTTGTGACTGCCATCTCGCTCATTTCCAAGACTGGCCACGCGTGACCCTCCCCATATGGGCTCTTGCTCTCATCCTCAGGAGTCAGTGCACTTCAGAGTTTGGGTGTTTAGAGGAGGAGGAGGAGGAGGAGGAGGAGGCACAATGGTTATGCTCAGATCTGCTAACTGAAACACCGCTAGTTCAAACCCACCAGTCACTCCTTGGGAGAAAGATGAGGCAGTCGGATTCTGTACTGACTTACAGTCTTGGGAACTCCATGGGGCAGTTCTCCTCTGTCCTAGAGGACCACCGCGAGTCACAATTCTACTCCCTGAGTTCGGTATTTAGAGAGGAATCCCAGTAGCATAGCTTCCAACCTTCCCTGCTTTCCCTTGGGGTCTCTGGTGGAAATGATAGTGAGTTTTCTCAGATCGTTTTTTATGCAGTTGCCGGAAGTGTAAGTTTTGGCATCTCAATCTTACATTCCCAAAAGCTGATACTAAAGTGTAAGAGTTTTGAGAGGGGACTGGTATCAGGAAATATCTGTTGAGGATGAGGAAAGAGAAGCTGCTCATGAGAGATGAGCTACCATGGTGGACACCTGGGGCTTTGCTCCACATGAAGATTAGGGGGGACCGTGTTATCCCACCGAGAAGCCAGAGACTTCGGCTGTGTGTGCAGCGGCTCAGCACCTATGGGTAGAACACTGCGCCAGGAGCTGCTCTTTACCATGCTTTCTCTAAAGCTTTATTGGCACATCTCACACAGTTCAATCATATCAAGAAGAGTTGTATCACCACAATCCATTTTAGAACATTTCCCTCTGTCTGGCACTCATTATTATTAACTTCCCATTTTCCCAAGTCCCCCCAGCCATACCCCAACCTGATCCATCCTTAGGTGAAACAGCTTCCTTAGATTTCAGAGAGTAATCTTTACCAAGGACGTACTAAGGCATGTCTCCATCTGGAAGGCTTGGCCATTGGAGAACAGTGAATAAATGAGAAGATACTTCAACCTGTGTTCAAATCCTGCCTCCTCCCTTGTGATTGGGTAACTCTGTGATTGGGTAACTCTGGAGTGTCGGATCTTTCCGTCAGAACATGCATCTTCTCAGAGAATAGGCAAACCTCAGAGATACTGTGGGCTCAGGTTCAGACCACCATCCTTAATGTGAATGTGGCAATCAAGCGAGTCGGCTACAGTTTTTGCTTTCTCACCGTATTGAAGAGTGATGTGGATACTTGACAGCAGTGTGCAGTGTGCAAGAGCGTGTTAAAAACATTTGAACTATTGTGAGAGTAAACAGGACACAGAGACAGGAAGTAAGCGCGGGCTGTTGGGAAAGTGTCTCCCCTAGACTTGCTTGATGCAGGTTGCCACAAATCTTCAACGAGTTACGAAATATATATAGGCAAAGCACAATGAATCAAAGCACAGTTAAGCAAGTTCTTCCTCTACATACTTTGTGGGTTTGTGAGGGAGATTGAATGAGACCCTGGTCTTATTAGGTGCTGTCTAGTGGATTCCAACGCATAGCCACCCTATCTACAACACAACAAACCCTGCATAGTCCTGTGCCATCCTCAACATTATTCTTATGTTTGAACCCATAGTTGCAGCCACCGGGCCAATCCGTCTTATTGAAGGTCTTCCTCTTATTCTCTGCCCCAATACCTTGCCAAGCATGATGGCCTTCTCCAGGGACTGGTCTCTCCTGACAACATGCCCAAAGTATGGGAGACAATGTCCCATCATCCTTGCCTCCAAAAAGCATTCTGGCTTTTTATTGTTTTTATGGAGTTTTTCCAAGGCAGATTTGTTTGTGCTTTTGACCGTCTGTGGTACTTTCAATATATTCTTCTCGAGCACTGTAATTCAAATGCATGCATGCTTCTGTGGGCTTCCTCATTCAGTGTCCACCCTACAGTCTTATGAGGTGATTGAAAATACCATGGCGTGGCTCAGGTGCACCGTAGGCCTCAAAGTAACCGCCATGCTTTTTTTTTTTTATTTACCACTCTGAGGAGGTCTGGTCTGGCAGAGATACCCAATGCATTCGTCCATTGATCTCTTGGCCAAGGCTTCCATGAGCACTGCTTGCGCATCTAAGCCAGACAAAATCCTTGACAACATCGATCTTTTCTCCACTGATCATGATGTGACCTACTGGTCTTGTTGTGAGGATCTGGGCTTTCTGTTCTTTGAGTTATAATGAATACTGAAGGCTGCGGTCCTTCATCTTCATCAGGGAGTGCTTTAAGCCCTCCTCTCTTGCAGCAAGAAAGCAGCGTTGTACCATCTGCATATGGTGGGTTATTAATCGGCCTTCCTCTCAGCCTGATGCATCTAATCCAGCTTCTCTGATGATCTGCTCAGCGTACAGATGGAATAAGTATGGTGAGAGGAGGCAACCCTGACACACACCTTTCCTGCCTGGAAACCATGCTGTGTCCCCTTGTGCTGTCAGCACAGCTGCCTCTCGATCCACGTGTAGGTTCCTCATGAGTGCAAGCTAGTGTCCTGGGATTCCCATTCATTCTAAAAGACGTCTAACAAATTTGGCACAGTGTTCGTCAGGTCACATCCATTGACATAGATGCAGACACATAGCAATGCTGCCGGGCAGAGTAGAACTTCCCTGTCAGGTCTCCAAGACTCCAAGGGGGCTGAAAGATTCCTCTTTATCCTCTGGGTGGGCCTGTGACTTGGAACCTCTGACCCGAGGGTTAGCAATTCAGTCCAGAGCCACTACAGGAATAAAACATGCTGGCTTTCGTTTTAAAAATGATCCCAGGGCACCTCTGTGCCAGGGCCTGTGCTGGGCTCTCGGTATCAACAGGTGGTTCAAAGAGGTAGTCTCAATTTTCAGAGTGTCACCTTTTTCCTTATCAACCCTTATGACTTTTTTACCACATATTTTTAAATTCACGTTTTCCTGGGCAAGCCTACCAACTTTGGCTAGAGTACATTTAACTTCATTGTGGACTTCTAGGTGAAGTGTCCCAGCGATATGGAAGGATTAAAGCAAGCCTTTGTAGGCAATTACAGCTTGAACATGTTTCCATTACATCATTTAGAAACGTGTGGAGAAGCAGGTGCAATTAATTTTCATAGCACATTTATCTACTTAGCCCAGTATGTGAAACATTACCATGTTAACATGTAATCAATGCAAAAATGATTCATTTGGTTGCTTTTTTTTTGCCTTGTTTTGTGGTATGTCATCTTCAAAATCCAATGTGTGTCTTACGTATAAACAATCTTGATTTCTGACCAGCAGCATGGCAGGCGTCCAGTAGTGACACGGGACACGTGCCACCATATTGGATAATGACGGTCCCGTGGGCCCTGGAATCTTGTCAGAAGTGACTTCTACTTGTCCCTGCCCCGCTCTCTAGGGAGATGACAATGCTCCTTGGCGGGCACAGAAGGGGATTTGATTGCAGGCCCGGCATCATAGGAAATTGACAGTTCGCATAATGAAATTTCACACATGGAGGCCATGGGGAGAATGTGAGCAGGTGTAAAAATCTGACGAAGTGGTTGCTTTAACGGCAGCCTCATGGAAACCGCAGCAGCTGTTCCCATTCGCAGGCTGCCGCGTTGCCCCGTCAAAGCGGGTCGTGGGCACCCCCCTCCCCTCTTCGTCTGCGAGGCAAAACGCAAAGCCTCCACTCGTTTCGAAAAGTTGCGGACTTGGTGCAAGTGAGCGAGCGGGGCAAACCCACGAGTAGCTGTGGAAAGATTGATGGCTTTCCTTTCTGCAGGTGCTGCTGCTCACATCTGCCCACGAGTCGGACTGCACTCCCGGGTTTCAGCCGAAAGTGTTTCGCATCGAGCAGCCTGCCGAGTTCATCGAGGGCCAGTCCATTCTGAACCGTAAGTCACACCGCTGATGGACAGCGCTTTCTGACCCGTCCTGGTCCTTGCATTCGCCGGTGGCTGGTGGCTGGTGGCTGGGGCCCTGTCCCAGTAGGTGGTTTTCTCTAAGAGCTCTAGGATCATGTTGCTTCAGTCAGTGATGTTCGACCCGGGATGGCAGGTCTTGGATGAAGGCTTTGCCGGGGTTGAGGGGAGCAGTGGGCCATGTGCCAATCTCTTGAGCATTTTATCCTTGGTGGCCATTCACCAGCTACCCCCCGAAAGACAGATTTAGCCATCTCCAATGTCAGGGTGACACTGAAAGGAACTCCTGCTCCCCTATGTAGACCCCTGAGAACCGTGCTATGAGGTTCCTAGTTGCGCGTCCTACCTGGAACCGTGCTATGAGGTTCCTAGGCGCGCGTCCTACCTGGAGCGCTCACACAGAGTATCAGTGGTGTGAGCCAGGGATGGTGGCATCTGGGAATTTTCAGGCACGGACGTCCTGAGCTAATAAGATGGCCTTCAGGAAGCTTCCCCACTGTTCCCGACTGTTCTGTGGAGTCACATCTCTTCCCACACAATTCCAATGGAGTTCCTTTCGGTGCACACCGCTCAGTTCTGCGGGTATGATCGCTGGCTCTTTTTGAAAGTCAAGATTGTATTATTTTGTCTTTATGATGACACCGGACGTTCTGGCGCAAAGCCTCTAGAATGGGTGATGGACAAGTAATGGGGTCACTGGAGCCCCTGGAGACCCCTTGTTTAATGCTTTGGCCTGAAGGGTGAGCATATGGCACCAGTGATTTGATTGGCAGGATGCTCTTAGGTCCCTTGGAGGAAGAAGGTGGCTGCTCACCTGCCCTAATGGACCCCGGTTGGCCTCCTAGTCTAGCCAGCCTCCTTCTCACCTGTGCTATCTGGCTGTCATGTTTCAAGACAAAGGGTTGGGACTCAGGGGAGCCCCGCTTGATTGCATTTTTCCATGTGGTTGGAATGCATTGTGAGCCGCCGCTGAAGGAAGCCACTGATGGAGACAGGATGTTGGCTACGCAGGGAGCTGTCCAAGGTGCAGTATGCGCACCCCCTCTGCAATTACACGCCAATGAAATCATTTCAATAATTAGAGTCTGTAATGACAAGGTGAGGGGCTCGCACTGAGAGTGAATTCCAATATGTGATTCCATGTTAATTTGATCCCTGAGTGTGACTCCTGGGTCAGACTGTCAGGAACCCTCACTTGCCTTTTGATTCGTGTGTTTATCAGAATCAATACATTTCAAACGGGGCTGGGTTTGTAGAGCACCGTTTCCCTTCTCTCCACGCTTCTCCTCTGCTCTCTCTTCTCCCCTGTCCCTGGTCCTCCTCTCTCTCCTCACCTCTCCTCTCCTCCCTCACCTCTCCCCTCCCCCCAAGTGATTATCCCAAATGGCATCTATGTTAACATGCTTGGAAATAGGAAGCCACCCCAAGTATGGAAATTAATAGCGTTGGTATGCAAAGCAGGCCCATAAATGTGATTGCTTCTGTAATCTTCACGACACCAAACAGCTTTTAATTCACCGCTGCGAAGCTGGAAACAATCATACTTTGGGGGATCTTTGTAATTTAAACGAGACCGTACTGTACATTCCAATATCACAGTTTTGCGTGTGTCTCTCTGTGGCTTTCTTTTTTTTAATCCCCCAAGTAATTAAGTGGGTTATGGTGGTTGGTTCTGTGTAAGCTAGTAAAAGCTAAATGGAACCGGGTTGATTATCCATGATTGCACATTCAGGAAAAAGTCCCTGATATGGAGGTTGAGGGCATTTAAACCTGTTTGTGTGTGTGTGTGTGTGTGTGTGTGTGTGTGTGTGTGTGTGTGTGTGTGTGTTGTAGGGTCAGCAAATTCTAACCATCTTCCTTTCGGTGCAAAATAGATGTCCAGACATGTTGCCAAGGTGAGGGGTTGAGTCAGATCTGATGAGGTATTACAAGTTCATCTCAGAGCCACGCATATGCTGAGTCTTGTTTTCTCTGTACTGTGAGAGATAGGCAATTTCCACCAACACCCCTCCTTCCGAGAAAGGTTCTGAGCATAAACTTACTGTAATTGGGTCAATTCCAACCCACAGTGACCCCAGAGAATAGAGCAGAATTGTCCCATAATGTCTCCAAGGCTGTAGACCTTTCCAGAGGTGGACTGCCTCATCTTCCTCCCACTGGGGGCTGGTAAATTTGAACCGCTAACCTCTTGGTTAATAGCTGATTACTTTACCCTTTGTGTCACCAGTGCTCCTGGTGAATAAAGCTATCAGAGTCTCAATGAGAAGGAAAGCTTTCAGTTTTGATAATGCTTCTGGTGGATTGAGTTGTGTACAGTGACCATCCCACTTGGGAATGGGCCTCTGTTATGTTAAGAGGCTGTAACCGTGTTTCATGCGTTTGCGCTATGGTGCCGGTGAAGAAGATTGAGGGTACTATGGATTTCCAAAGGAACACCAACAGCAAAATCCTGTCTCAAAAAAAGCACAGCCGGAGTGCTCCTCAGAAGCGAGGATGGTGAGACTTTGTCTCATGTACTTGGGACATGTAATCTGAAGAGACCCGTCCCTGGAAAAAGGACCTCGTGCTTGGTAAAGCAGCTGGCCCATGAAGAAAGGAGGACCCTCAAGGAGATGCAGTGGCGCTGGCTGCAACAGTGGGCTTGAGCGCAAGGACAGCAGTGAGGTGGCAGCGGCCTGGGTCGTGCTGTGTTCTGTTGTGCGCAGGGCCACTGGGAGTCGGAGCTGACTTGACAACACCTACAACCACCACCATCACCACCAAGACCCAGGGAAGGACGTGGCCAGGGACCTGAGGGACACACAAATCCAGAGCAAGGCAACAGCAGTTGTTCCCACGCACCAGGAGAGGGTGTTGTCTGGGGCCCTGTTGAGGGCACTTGCACTTACCGTGTGGTGTTTGCTTTCTGCCACTTGAACCCTTGCAATCCTTAGAGCTCCGGCTTCCTATCATTGTGAAAATTTTTGTGTTGTCAAAAGTCTAAACACAGCACAATCAATCCATGGATGCCTCCGCTCCTCGCTGTTCTATAAAGCTGTCTGAAAAGTGTTGTCTCTTGGTCTGACACGCATAGTTTATCTGCTCATGCGCTGCATGTATATGCAGTCAGCTCTGGCCTCAGGTTTTAGCCGGTGCCCAGGAATGTTTATTCTGCCCACGATATCCTGCTCTGTTTGTTCAGACAGTAATATTTCCTTCTATCCTTTTTCGTCTCCCTCCTCAATGCTCAATGACGTGCCTTCTTCTCCCTTAACTGTTAGTAATGGTCCCCTCCACTGCTTTTGCTTCCTTCATATTTTATTCACTCTTCACCCCGATACATCTTTCCCTCAGTTCCTCCTAAAGGCTTCTTTCTTCACAGCCCAATAAGACTTTATTCCACTCTTCTTCCCATGAACTCCACCCGCTTTCTTCTTTAAAAGGCCAGTTTTCAACAAGCTGCTAGGATCAAAACATGGCATTCCACCGTTCCTTCTAATGTAGCCAGGGGGGGCTCTTTCCTCTCTCGTTCAAAGCGTGTGGTAGGGGCCCCACTCAAGATAACGTGGGCAAAACTTTCCTGGCTTCACCTTAGCTGTGAAAGGTGAACTGAGATGATGGAGTTATTGCCAATCCACCCCCCCAACACACACCCCCCCTTTTTTTTTTTTTTTTGCAAAGAGACGTACAGGAGGAAGGGAGGGAAAATCGAAAATCAGCTCAGAGAGGAAGTGTCTTTTCAAGGTCTTGGGGTTAGAGTGGAGACTGCGTAGGGCACGACAGCAGGGTCCCTGACTCCTGAGCCAAGAGCGCCCCTGGATAGGCTGGCTGATGGCTCTGTCTTCTCCAGCTAAAGGAAAGCATATCATCCCCCTGGCTGCCATCTTGGTGCCATTAGAGTCTGACAGTGACCCTGAGGACAGACATGTTCCAGAATGATACTGACCAGCACCCCATGGGAGTGGGGAGATGCCAAGTGAGAAAGCCTTGCCCACCCACTCCCCTGGAGGCATTTCCAGCTCCTGGTGATCTTAATAGGGTGTTTGGGCCTATACATCTTTCTGGGAGCAGGTCGCCTCATCTCCCTCCCCTGGAGCAGCTGGTGCGTTTGAACCACCCACCTTGTGGTTAGCTGTCCAATGCTTACCTGACAACACCACCAAGGCCCCTTTATAACGTCACAGAACACATACTGTGTCCTACCCTTATCAGCTCAGCTAGACCTTCCTAGCCCTGCGGATAGGAGCTCCCTTGGTCATCAAGCTCATCTGGGACCACATGCTCATGACCCAGGAGTCTTCATTAGTGGGCTACATCTCCATCCTCTAGGATCCCAAAGGGACCCTATGATAATAATTTGTTTTGTACCTTTTTTATTCTTCATGGTTCACTCATCTTGAGACACACACACACACACACACACACACACACACAGAAATGCCACAGCTGAGATCACCTATAGTCTATGCAGTTAAGACTAATACTCATACATTTAGTATAGTATTGATCATAGGGCAGGTTAGAGTACCATGATTTTTACTCAGATAACCCACGCCTTCTGTATTAGTTGGCCAATGGTTCTTCCCCTTTCCCCAGAAGATGTTTCTGTAGACATTCTAACTCCTGTTCTTTTCTGCTTTCCGCCTCCTCTCGCTCTTTCCTTCTTTCTTTTGAACAGCAGCATGTTTCTAACAACTGACATAGTGGCTCTTAGGAAAATACCTCCCCTTCTAGGTGGAGGGAGCCACTGGCAAACAGACCTGGAAAGCATGTTATTTGCGTAGAAATAAAATATGCTGTTGTAATCAACAGCCCCAGGAATATAAGACAATAAACGTCTATTTGCTGCTTGTTGGGGTTAGACTATTCTTCTGCGGAGCTCTCTTCCAAATGGCTTCCCTCCAGGTGGGGGCTCAGGGACCCCCCAACTTTGCGCTGCCATCTTGTGGCTTCTGGTCACTGGGCTGGCAAACAGAGGGACTAGAAAAAGTGTG